AAAGGGGGAAGGGGAGGAAAAGAGGGGAAGAAAGAGGGAAAGGGGAGGGAGAGAGGGGAAGGGGGAAAGGAAGGGGAAGAAGAGGGAAAGGGAGGGGGGAAGGAGAAAAAAAAAGAAACAAGACCCCAAGCCCTCTGAGAAGCACAATGGGCAAGTGGGTTGAGTTTAATACCATAAAAGATTATGCAAACGTTTTAAACTGCTGAAATTGCAAATGTGAGAGAGAATATTTTGTTGAGTTTTATGCTAATTTGCCCTGGGGGGACTGGGGGGAGGTTAATCTAATTTTCTGGAAAGTCTTCACAAAGATTCTCACAGTCAAGAAATTTGTCAGAGATCTTTCACAGAGACTTTTAAAGCTTTTCAGAACAACCTTTGAAGATACTTATACCTCCTTACAGTTCCTTAAAACCGTAGTGAAAAGACGTGTGAAACTGCCAGAAGGGAGGGGGGAGGGGGGGGATTAAGTACAAGGCGTTACCTGATTTCGTTTGGTGCCTCCTCTTCCTCATATCTCTTCTTTTCTTTCCTCCGTATCGTCAGCCTCACCACCAGGAACAGGAGGGAGAGTCCCACCACCACCCCACACACAGCTCCAGCGATCATGCCAATGTTCTGTGCATCTGTTGTCCAGAAAACAAACATATTAGTTGATAAACTCTCACTCGGTTCACATGGTCAGGTTCTAGCCCACACTGCGACTTGCAGAGCAGAACGTGTTAGTTTATTTATTGAGGTGTGTCTCCACACAGAAGTTGAACCAGTTTCTTCTCAGGCTTTGGAGCTAAAGCTGAGCTGACTGTGAGCAAAACCATCACTTCTGCAAGGGTGGGAACACAAGTGCTGTGCCTTCAGCTATGGGGCACCATGAAAGGGAGGAAAAATCTTCTCACCAAAGCCACAGAAAGCAGAGACACAGGACAACCTGCATGGCAAGCAGCTCCAAGCAGGTTCTTAGAGGCAGGAGAATGTTTGAACTATGAATGTTTCCCCATAAGGGTTTTTTTTTCCTCTCTTGAACTCACCCTGAAATGATTCCAACCCACTTGCACTGAATTATTCAGTGGGGGGGATAGGTGACCTGAGGTGGGTGTTTTTTTTTTCCTCTCTTCAACTCATCCTGGAAAGATTCCAACCCACTTGCACTGAATGATTCAGTGGGGGGGGATAGGTGACCTGAGGTGGGTAGGGAGGAAGGAGGAAAGGAAGACCACACTGCACAAGGCATTTTTTCATCCAAAATAGCCAAGACAATGCCAGAACACTTCTTTCTCAGTGCTTATGGGCCCTTAGCTGATACTTTATGACAAGTTCTTTTGATAAGAGTGGTTAGGTTGGACTTGGCTGAAAGTTGTTTCCTCAAGGCTCATCCCTACGGAGGGTTTAGCAAACCCAACTGAGGTTTTAAACCAATTCAGTTCAATTGGTAGAAAAGCTGTGGATGCTTTTACTTCAGATGCCTGAGGCAAACCGGTTTCCCTGGCTGCATGACCATATTCCAGTTATTTCAGGCTTGGCTGGGCAGAAAAACTCCAAAGCTGTGGAATCTCCAAGAAGAGACTTCTCTATTAGCATTTCTCTTTGATCACAGCAGTTCCAGCACCCGCTGATCTCCCTTGGGAGCTTCTAAACTCTGTTGTTTGGACTTCTAAGTGCTGGTGCTAAATTCCACCTTTTCCTGGCATGCATATGCAAAGACACACACACACCCTTGGTGGGGTTAATCAGGTAAAGAGCCGATTTTAACCTCTGGTGTTCAGGACAGAATTTATTTAATCTGGATTAAAACCAAACTGTGTCAAAAGTCGCTTTTTATCCTGCATGTAACTTCCTGTCACAGTCAGCACTTCCAGCTGCATTTAGGTGGTTTAGAGTCCCAAGTGCAAGAGATACATAATTTTGGAATTGGGATGATGGAATATCCACAGTGGGAGTTTATACCTGAGAGTAATCTCATGGGAATCACTCCAGCCAGAAGTACCTCCAAAAGCTGCAGCCTCTGGAACCTCTGACTCACCGTTTCCCCCCTCATATTTCATTAGTCATTCTGAAAACTCAAAATTTTCAGAGCTGAGAGGCTGAAAGAGTTGGGGCTGTTCAGCCTGGAGAAGAGAAAGTGGTGTGAAGATCTCACAGCAACCTGCCAGGAGCTGAAGGGGCTCCAGGGAAGCTGCAGAGGGGTCTGTGTTAGGAATTGCAGGGACAGGACAAGAGGAAATGGGGAGAAATTGAAAGAGGGAAATCTAGATTAGACCTTAGGAAGAAGTTTTTCCCTGTGAGGGTGGTGAGACACTGGCACAGGTTGCCCAGGGGGACTTTGGCTGCCCCAACCCTGGCAGAGTTCATTCCAGGTTGGATGAGCCTTGAGCAACCTGCTCTGGTGGGAGGGAGGTGTCCCTGCCCAGGGCAGGGGGTTGGGGCTGGGGGATCTCTAAGCTCCATTCCAACCCCTTAACATACTATGAAACTATGAATTCCTAACAGACTCCAACCCCTGAGCCCAAATAATGATTGCATCACTTTAGGTTGTACAGACAACTGTTGTGCAAGCCATAAGTGCAATAAATAAGAACTATTTTATGTTTTTAAGGGGCAAAGGTGTGGCCCAGAGTTTACCAGATGGGACAGTGTGAAGCAGCAGAGCTGATGTAGTGTGTGGACACCAGTTGTGTGTCAGTACTTACGCTGCACTGTCACCTGCACCACACAGCTCTCCTGACCAGCCTCGTTGGTGGCAACACATTGGTATAACCCTGTGCTCATCTGTGT